CAGGAACAACGGTCACAAGCTGGCAGAGGGTAGATTTAGGTTAGACATCAGAAGGCGCTATTTCACGGTCAGGGTGGCTAGGGTCTGGAACCAACTTCCAAGGGAGGTGGTGCAGGCTCCTACCCTGGGGGTTTTTAAGATGAGGTTAGATGAACACCTTGCTGGGGTTGTTTGACCCCAGTACTCTTTCCTGCCATGGCAAGGGGTTGGACTAGATGATCTTCTCAGGTCCCTTCCGACCCTAGAAACTATGAAACTATGAAGGTCCAGGGATCCCCCCTCATGGGGACTCTGCAACTGCACAAATGGCAACCGGTCGATATTTCACGTGCAGTTAAATCCAGCCAGATTTAAAATACATTTTAAAAAGCAATATTTTAAAACTGCAATGATGTAAATGCAATATTAAAATTGCAGATTTAAATGCACGGTGTAAATAGCCCCAATTTAAATGCAGTATTTCAATCATGGGTTTAAAAGCACTGTTTCAGCAGCCCTGATTTAAATGCAACTTTTAAATCGTTCTTATTTCAATGCAATATTTCAATCGCGGATTTAAATGCATGGCTTAAATAGCCCTGATTTAAATGTGGCATTTAAACCGTTCGTACTTAAATATAATATTTAAATTGTGCTGATTTAAAACGCGATGTTTAAAACGTGGATTTAAATGCGTGGTTGAAATAGCCTTGATTTAAAATGCAGCATTTACAACGTTTATTTAAATGCAATCTTTCAATTGCAGATTTAAACGCATGGTTTCACTAGCCCTGATTTAAAGGCAACATTTCAGTCGTTCTTCTTTAAATACAATATTTAAATCGAGAATTTAAAGGTATTTTTTTAAATAGCCCTGATTCAAAGGCAATATTTAAACCGTTCTTATTTAAATACAATACCTAAATAGCTTGTTGAAACACACCGTTCCGATGGCCCCGATTTAAATACAATATTTAACTAGCTCTGATTGAAATGCAACATGCAAATAGGCTGTTTAAATGCACTATTTAAACAGCCCTGGTTTAAAAGCGGTATTTAAAGGGCCGTGTTTTAAACGCCCCATTCAAATCGCCCCCATATAAGCCTGTGGCCCGGGCATGACTCCACTCCGCCCCGCGCGGTCACGCCCATCAGGG